ATTAATAAATCATATTTGCCATGATCTAAGAGATTTTAAATATTAAATAGAAAAATATAAGTGTTAGTTGTAATGAACATAATATAAAAGTTAAATGAAAAGTATAATGAAAAGTTAAATGTGTTGTAAGAGTATTGCAATATAACATTATCTTCAACAGAACATTCAATAGTGATTTTCTTGATCTATTTTAGATTTTTTAATATTTTCTAATCTATATATTTAATAAATACGTTTTATATGCATACATTCCCACCTTACCTTTTATCTTTTACATCTTTAGTTTTATGATAACGTGCTATGGTAACATTTTTATTTTACGACTAAATTCTAAGCAGAATCATAATTATGTTTCATTCAAACTGTGATCAATATGCATTTTTAATTTGATACTCTTTAGTGATAATAAATTTTAATTGTGAAACATTCTTTTTGATCCAAAGTCGAGACGAATTCCTTCTATCTCTTGAGATTACAACATTAAATCTGTTAATCTGATGGTGATTTTTTCTTGGACATAGAGGGATTGATATGAAATTGCATTGTTGAAGTTCCAAAGTGAAAACTGAAACGTACTATTTTTTGGAATAAAGATTTAAGATTGCCTACTAACTACCACGCTGACTCTCATTCGCCCTGGTTTTTTGAAATTTTGTTGTTGAATTTGGGAGAGTCGATTACATTATTACTATATGTTTCTTTCTCTCATTCTTATACCATACCACCAAATTTTTCCCTTTCGACGAATTATAACTTTTTCAATTTTTTAAGAGGTTTTTAGAGATTTTTTTATGTAGGTTACAGCATGTAATTAAAAGGCCTGTTCTTTGTAGCTCAACTTTTCGCACTCTTCATCTTTTTTTTTCTTCAATTATTAATGTGGAGAGAAAAGGAGGAAAAAAACGAATGGTGCAAGAAGTGGAGCTAAAAAGAACAGACCTATTATCAAGTGGCATTATCAAATGTCAAGCACTGTTGAAGATACGGCGGACAAGATACGGATACAGTGTGATACAGTGTCTTGATTAGTTCCTCCCGATTTTTCTGGTAGCGATCTTTCACGACCTTTCTCTGTGCTCAACTTAAGTCTCAACTGTGCATGGGTGCGTTCCGAGTTATGCATGAAACGCATGATGTATCGTTTTATCCTTCTTTATTAATTGATAAACAACAAGGATAATGCATCATGCGCCTCATGCGTAACTTGGAAAGCACCCCATGAAAGCACGTTTAACCGTTTTAGCCATTTAGCACGTCAATGGTATTAATGGTGGGCAGTTTCACGCTAATGCTATGAGAGGCAATCTCTTCTAACCAAAAGAAAGAATGGAGCTGTTAGTCGCGCAGTATACTCTGCTCGAGGAAAATATATTGCAAAATATTAGACGCAATGGCATTCAACACCGGTACGTCATTGACACTCTTTCCTAGAACGAGTTAACCTTATAACGAGGTTTTAACGCGGCTATTACGTTTTGTTATGAAATTATAGAAAAAGATACGTTTATCCAGTGTAATTTCAACAAGTGAATTACGTGCTCATAATTTGATAATGATAGTAATTGATTTTTTTTTTAATCAGTGACGATAGAAAATGATATAACTTGGATCAAATTTTGATTAATTTTATTAGATTATATCAAATATATATTAGATTATATTAAATATATAAAATATAGAAAGAGAAATTAGATTAGAGGTAAACTTTGTTATTATATATGAGTATTCTCTGCTGTAAGCAAAATTATTTTTACCAAAATCTTAAATTTTTCATATATATTTTATAATGAAAAAATTTGTAACTTTATTGATATTTATAAGATGGATTTGCTCGATGAGTTAATTAAGAGTTGCTTGGTCAGAATTGCCATGTAACAAAACTAACTTTATATATTATGGATTTATCTTTTATAGGCCAAATGCAAACAGTGGATTATGGCTAGGTGCTTTAGTTGGCCTGAGTGCTGTGATTACGATATTGAGAGAAGAAAGCAGTTATTCCGAGATATGTCTTTCTGTAGGAACTACTGGCTTCGGTCTTGTTCTCTGTTGTCTATGTCTTTATGCACGACTTTCAATGAAACAAATTATAGCGAAAGACTTTCATGCTGTATACTTTGTACCTGCAATTATAACATCCATACTATTTTTACTTGCTGCTAACAAAGGTATATCAATCTGCAAATTATTTCTTTATTAAATTAAGAAGACCTGTTGATATGAATATAAGTAATATGTTGATATTTCTTGGAATTGAATAATTATATGTAAAACTCTAGTTCTTATTATATTTTTATATTAATTAAATAAGAACAGGACTATTGACTAGTGTCACATGGGGCCTAACTGTTGGAAGTTTGGGCACATGGGGTGTTTTACAACTAATGTCAGCTTTTCCATGCTGTTTTACAATGGGAGAAGCAACAGCGGTTACACATGGTTTTATTTTATTCTTGATGTCGGTTGTTACTAATTTATCCTTACGATATCATTTACCCCCGATTCACGATAATGACATCAGTACAGTCTTGTTACAGGTAATGAAATGTAAAAATTAATTGTTGTGATCTTTTTTTCATATAACATATTATATGTTACAGGTTGTGATATCATATGTAGTGTCGATATGTTTCCTGTGTGGATATTTTCCAGCTCTGCGCAGTACAACATATTTTTACTTGATGATATTCAGTCTCTTATGTTTCGTGATTCTTCCAATACTTTACATTATTCTTGATCAAAATCCAATAGAATGGATAATTTCTTTTTCTTTTAGTAGTTATGAAAGGGTAAATAACTATAATATTTTATTATTATAATTTACGCTACTTTTAAAATGGATGAATCATAAGATAAGACATAGATTACAAATAATAATAATATATTTTTTTAATTGATTTTATTTTATTCTTACATGTTTTAGATTGCAATGTTTATATATTGGACAGTGTGTTTTCTGTTAAGTATCTTTATTATAAGCCATCAGATATCATTGAAATCCCAAGCTACAAGTTCTACTAGAAAGCATTTTCATATATTAGCCACATTTGTATATATTCCTGGCATGATATACAATCTTCCACTATTATATCTTGCTAGCGGTGTGATGTTTGTACTACTTATTGCTCTTGAGGTATATAGGTTATACAATTATTGCTGTATATGTATATTATAATTAAGTTTGAGTAGTATAATTCTCACTTAATTTTTATATATTTTATATATTATTTGATACGATAATTAAGTTAATTAATTTTTAGGTAATCAGATTTTTGAAAATTCCTCCTTTAGGAGAAATTTTACAACAAGGATTTATTGCATTTGTTGACGAAAAGGATCCTTTGCTTTCATTAACACCTATATATCTATTGTGTGGTTTATCATTACCCCTTTGGATGCCAACTAATAATTTGACGTTAATGGTATTACTCAGCGGTGTACTGACGGTAGGAATCGGTGACACTGCTGCAAGTTTCGTCGGTAACAGATGGGGAGCACATAAATGGCCCGACACGGAAAAAACTATCGAAGGCACCATCGCATGCATATTTTGCCAAGTTTGCATAATATTCGCGCTAACATGTTGTGGTAGATTTCGGTTTTTATATTTTCCTAACAGCTTTTATAAAACTGTTTTATCTATTTTTAATTACTTATGTTTTGCCA